AGAGTAATGCGGCGATAGAAAAGGCGAAGCTATTCAGCAAGACGGCACCGAAGGGGAGAACATAGACGCTATCGTACTAGGATATATTTTACTATAGACTTTGTATCTACTTAGCTGGATATAGATGCGGCGTACTGTATGTATCTCTCGAAAGTGTTTTCCTCGTTGTACCGTCTCTACAAGGGACTGGTATTTAAAAGGATAAGAGCCGACATGCACCTCTGAGCTCGACCAACCTCGGACTTCACTATGACGGGAGGGTTTATTTCGGTGAGGGTGCTAAATATTTATTAGGAACCACGGACTCGGCAGGGTCCGGTGGGAATAGGATCATGTCGAACTATAAAAAAAAGCAGTTGAGCTGTGAAGAGACTAAGAACGGAAGAATAGCTGTAATTGTGGTTTCTGTAGATTCAGCAGCTTCTTGCCGCTGAGGGGCCAACGATAGTTTCATGATACCAGCATGGTTAATCTGCCAATGTGATTCAAAATCGCTCCCCAGTCGACTGGGAATATACGGACAGTTAACATGCGGTTCACATCGCTGTCCAAGTGCTCTACAGTGGAGAGGATGGTACCAGCCAGGTCGGTGGTCGCACGCACGTCCACAGCCATGCTGAAGATTTTCGTTGCCTACATTGATGAGCTAACGTCAAGGGGGAACGGGGAAGGACACACCGAGAACATGGCTAACCCCTCTCAAGCGCGCAACCAAGCTGATTGAAGCGATCCTTCTCTTGGTTGGCGAATATCCAGGGGGCAAGGCGACGGCGGGGTTTCTTCAGGAAGGCTAGGTATGACTGGATGTCTTCGAGGGCACTAAATAAATGTAAGTCGATCGATTCTAATAAAATGCGATGAGCCGACAGCTTCAGAGCCTCGAGGGCGTCCCCATCATTGGCTGACGCGCCATTCGTGGCAGCCGCACGATCGACGATACACTTTGTTACATTGCTCGCTGCCTCGCGAGATCGGCTGCGGCAGCGTGATTGCTTTGAACGGACTGTTATCCTTGGTCAGGAACCAAAAAAGAAAAGCATTATACGCGTAATATTGAAATACCTTCGCCGTTTCACATATTAAAGCTGCAATGCCGACCACAGGTTTCAGAAAATTAAGGACGGGCGCCTCACAGATAGCACCTGTTACACGGATACTCATGGAAACGAGTTCCTGAACGCATTCGCTGTGTGATTTACCCGTCGACTCAGAAATCAGCCCGGCAATCGCGAGCTGGAGGAGATGCCTCGAGGATGCCTCGAAATCACAATGTAGAAGTACTCACAAGCTCGTACAAACACTTTTCCACTGCAATTCTGCCTGGAGGTGACTTGTTTCTCTTTGGAACTTGGGGGAGCCAAGGAACCGATTCACCTTCTTGTTGGCACCTGGCAGATAAGCCGCCGAATTGCCTCTAATTTCCTGGAGGTTCACTTTAGTGTGGTACTGTGCCAAGAAATTTAAGCGCGTACCGCTCGAATATCTCCAACGACTGGAGGATATCTGGAGAGATTGGTATATGGGCCATGCTGTTGACCAATATCGCTGCTAAGTCCACGGTATAGGCCGCGAGCGTCTCGGCTTTATGCATCTTGAGCTTGTTGGCGATAAGTGTCCAGCGCAAAGAAAAACTACGAGAGAAAGCGGATACACTGAGGCAGCAGCATTACACACTTCGACCGTAGATGCAGCGATCGGCTGATACGAGTTCATGCCCGGCGTCTTCTCGCACAACGTGCGGAGGTCCTTAGCACGGGCCATCAAATTGGGGAGGGCTTGGGGTATGACCCTTGGGGACATAGTTCAAAGGAGAGGAAGATGGGTCTGAGCAGTGGACATCGGTCTCAGGCTGGCTCCAAAGCTGTTGAGATAAGCGCCGCGGTGCGCCTATAAACCAACCCATTGCTGCTGTTACTTCTGCAGTACAGTCTGTTCAGATGATGTCCCGAGTTCGCTGCAGTGCAAATAGTCTCCCATAGGCAGGGTAATCCTTTGAAGTTGAACCTTCGTGCCTCAAGATAGTCCTGATCTGTGAGGTGCGGTATCTTGAGCTTGCGAAGTTGACGCCGTTTCTTACGCTGCCTCAGGACGACAGCTACGAAGTAAATAAGCGAAAGCTTGTCTTGCAACTTGCTGCCAAAAACGGTTAAGTTCAATTGTGAGATCCCGAGCACACCGACTGAACGGCTATAGGCAGTGTCAAAACGCTGCGTATGGTCGAGATGTCGCGAGAGGAGAGTAGGCTGCACAGCCCCGGGCCCAGATTCGGACTAACCGATCCAAGGGGGGATCGGCATTAAAATTTCGGCTATGGGGAGGGGGGGGGGGGGGTCCCCCCGGGGGTTGAAAAAAACTTTTTACTATACATTTCAACGGAGGTCTTGGGATGCTTAAAACACTATATAAGGCATTTGGGAGGTGCAGGGGCCATAGAATAAGTGTCAGGAGGCTCCCCGAGGCCCGACAGTCTCTGGCATGGGAGTTTGGGTGCTACAAAATGAGTCAATAGCCCATAGAAGGAGTATAACATTGTTGTACTTGTAGCCAATGTATATTCTGGGCAGCCTGGAGTGTCCCAGGGGTTGAATGAATAAGGTGGTTATGTCGTCGACTGGATTGGGAAGCTGTCCATCAGGTGGCAGTGAGGTGGCGGTGAGTCCGCACATGACTCGGAGGCACGGCCCGCCGCCCAGGGTGGGAAACTCCTTCCGTATATAGGGGGGGAGGGGGGGGGGGTCTCGGCGGAGGTCGAAAAAAACTTTTCGACCCGATAGCCGAAATTCGAAAGCCGATTCCCCCTTGAACCGATCAACATAAACCAACTTGAACAAGCCATGGCTCTCTCCTTGGCTCTCTCCAGCTCTAGATATCCTCGCTAGAGGCTTCTTTCCAACCTCTGCAACTACTACTGCCATGAGCTCACTGTGAACCACCAGGAACCACCGTGAAGCGATCCAAGGACTCGAATGTCCGCTGTGTCGGCTTTCGTCACTTGCTACTCCACTCCTTGAAATATCGCAATGTCTCGGGCCAGTTCTGTGCGCAGCGCACGAGGAAAGCAGCAAAGTGTTCGCCAATCCCCCGGTACAATTTCGTTGGCTTTTGGTCGATGTCGTCCAAGGCGCGCGTTCAGCCTTCTCTGTTTCCTGCGGCTTTGGTTCATGACCTTCAAGGACAATGTGGTGCCCAGCAGCCGCGTTGCCGTGTAATATCAACTTGAGAAGAACGAGAAGCGATAAACTCCGCCCTCGGGTTAAACATCCGCTCGGGAGACATTTTGCCACGGCCGATCGCGACGTATATACTTAAGTATGCATTGAATAGTGAGTCCTCCATATTTTATTTCCAGCAACTTCCCATCCTTCCTCCTAATGCGCTCGAGAACATGCTCCTTGCTGCGCGCTGGTGTGATGGCCGCCATTCGTGCCTCTGCCGCGAGCCTGGCCGACATTTGTACCATCTCTTACGTCCAATCGACCTTACCCACCGACGCCATTGACGGTGTCCTACGACGTCTGGGTTCCCGATTACTGAAGGACGAAAAATTCGCTACTTGATAATACAGAATGTATTGCAACTTTAAACCACAGATTCTTTTGTCTACATGATATGCACCTATGTCAAACAAATCGTCCCTGGGAATACATGGCTAGGCTTTCTCTGCGGAAAATTGATGGGGATCAGCACCTGCGGACCGCCGACAGGGTTGTGCTCGAGCCAGACTAAGTCTCCTTCACGCACAACAAGGGCCCCTTCCCGTAGAGGCACTCGACCTTCTGGGACTCAGGCTTCGACGAGTACGCGGAGATTTTCATTGGCGAGGGTGAGATGGCCGTCGTATCGTTCGTCGAATTGGGTGGCATTAGGCCGAAAGCGAGCTATGTGGAAAGACCAGATGCCGACCACTTCGGCACCCTCGCCACCCCAGTAGACAATCGAGAAGTTGTGGTTCAAAGGGGCGACCCGGATATCGCGACAGTAACGCGAACCGTAACCCTGTACTGCGTCAAAAGGAAACGTCGAAACATAAAGGGCACACTCACAGCCATGGAGTTAGCTCGCCACGGTCCGTCTGATGTATAACTTCGGAGGGTTCTGAGTTCTTGAACCGCAGCGTCTCCTTGGTATGTAGCCACAAGCGCCTCTACTTCGTCGTCTGTCCATTCACCTGTCTGCAATAAGCGTTTATATATCTGTGAATTAAGGCAGATGCGTAAGGACGAACCTCAGTCATGCTGGTGGCCAACTTTGTGGCGAATTACGGGTTACGTAACCTCGTGAATTTCCGTTTTGGGGCAGTGAGCCTCGTTGTGAATCACGTGATTGGCTGCTAATAATCGTTCTATAGACAGCTCGCAGTCGCTGCGGAAAAATCGGGGGAAGAGTAATTGACGAGTATATGAACTTTATGTAGCGCTCGTTGTGAGAAACATATTGCCGTCGGGTGACGAAATACTTAAGTGGTACGTACTTATTCTTCCTCCTTCAGGCATTGAGCGCTTTCTGTGTGGAATAGAATAAAATGAATCGACATTCGGCGCACCCTTCAGTGACAGTTATAAATATCTAATGGAAGGTATGCGCGCAAGCATACCACCCCAATAAACGTACAACTCGAAATTGAACCCCTCGCAGGTGTCCCGGGCCGCCGTTGATGAACCGTGGGAGAGATTGCTCAGAATACATTGAGGACACCACAGGACCGAATATGAGCAAGTTTATAAGGCACAGACATTCCGATCGTTTGTAGTACTTGGATGAAGTTTTTCAAATATCTTGGCCGTCCATGGAAGCATTTCTTATTGCGATAGCTAAAAAAATCCCCACGGGAAATCAGACCCTTGAGTCAAAGTTCATTGCGGTAGATGTGCAGGCACAGACGGAGTACTTGAAGGTCGAAGGACGGTGCAGGGTGTGTTCGCTCCATTACCTGTGACTATTATTGATCTGGCACCACCAGACGATATGGTTATATTTGCTCAAATATAACGTATATCGTGGCCACTATGGTTCAGTGGTTAGAACGCCAGCCGCCTGATTAGCTCAGCGGCGGGAGGTCCAGGGTTCGACTCCCTGGGGTGGTCACATCCGAGCCGGGCCCGGGGCGGGATTAAACCCCTTGTCACAAGAAGTTGAGCGCTCGCGAAGAAACTACAGTTGCACTCTCGGGCGCAAAGGCTGAGTTTCACACACTATGTTTTTTTCTCTCGTAAAATATAAAACGGCCTTGTACCTTTTAGACTTCAAAGTTTTGGGCAGTTTTACCATTAGTACCCTTGACACCCTTCTCCAAACTACGGTAAATAAAAAACTACTTAGCTCCCCAGGTAGCCCTGGTTTATGGCGGTCGTTCTGCACATTTATTAATTCGGTATATATTTGTGCATTTCCGGTGTTTTTTGGGCCATATAGCTATGAACTAGACATTTTTGACGACATCTTGTACTCACGAAGCTTTTGACTCCATTCTAATGAATAACTTCAAGATCTGGTCCTCCACTCATATTAAAGTGACCGATCCAACAAAGTTTTTTGAACAGTTTTGAACCGAAGTTTTTTTTCCCCCGAAGCTGAAGAATTTTTAGTCAATCTGTATCTTTTTCTAGTGCGCCTGGAAACATATTTGGCGGTGCATGAGCACTAAAAGTTCACAAGTGGTGATGCTAACCCTAGCTGATGCAGTGATCGGGATATGACCTGTGTCCGCACGCATCGCAATGACCCTCCCCCTTCGCTGTAACTAGCCGGCATTAAAGTGTATCGCCGTTGCGAGCGTTCAATGGGCTCTGGGGAATATTAATAGAGGAGAGATTGAAGATTGAGCGCTCATATCTCCTGTGCAGGACATTTCCATAACTTCCCTACCAATGCACACTGGTGCAGGGATTCAGGATCATCTGTCAGGTATTTGAGGGTGCACTCTATAAGGTCCTGTGGGATATGAAGCATGCAGCGAAGGGGGAGGGTCATTGTGATGCGTGCGGACACTTGAGGTCATATGCCGATCACTGCCACTGCATCAGCTAGGGTTAGCACCACCACTTGTGAACTTTTAGTGCTCATGCACCGCCGAATATGTTTCCAGGCGCACTAGAAAAAGATACAGATTGACTAAAAATTCTTCAGCTTCGGGGGAAAAAAAACTTCGGTTCAAAACTGTTCAAAAAACTTTGTTGGATCGGTCACTTTAATATGAGTGGAGGACCAGATCTTGAAGTTATTCATTAGAATGGAGTCAAAAGCTTCGTGAGTACAAGATGTCGTCAAAAATGTCTAGTTCATAGCTATATGGCCCAAAAAACACCGGAAATGCACAAATATATACCGAATTAATAAATGTGCAGAACGACCGCCATACTGGTTCCACCGGCACTCTTGTTATTATGTCGGGAATGAGTGCCGCTCGTCGCCGACACTGGTGGCAGTAAAACAGTAAAATGCTAAAAATGGAAGAGCCTCAAGGTCATGCACTCGTCGCCGACCTTTGGTCGCTCCTTGCGGCCCGCGGAAACCGTTATTTAGGTGCGGGGCACTGCCAGGTGCGGGCGTGCACTGATTTGACGCCGGCTGGAGACGCGCTGGTGGTGGTATTTGGGATGGACAGCTCACGGTTGCGCCACTGGGGACTTTCGTGGCGAACGGGTTCGTGCGCGAGAGCAATAGTGGTTTGCTGGTGACTATCCCTTGCCCAGAGTTTGCGTTGTCGACACCGATGAATTCCAAGGAAAGACGGTCCAAAGTGAATGGTGCGTGGGCATGGATAAAGCGTGCGTTCGTCGCAGATGGGGTCGTCGTCGTCGTTCCAAACAAAGGTTCAGATTTTGCGGTCTTGCGGTGGTGAAGGATGTCAGAAAAGTCAAAAGCATCCGAGTCATTGTTTGTACTTCTTTTCCAGTGCGAGCTTCACCTAATTCTCAAATGAATGGGCCATCCCCATGATATCAGGTTCGTCCACTTTCTGCACAGTGGTTGACACCCGCTCGAAATCCGCATCCAGCCTCGTCCACAGGACGTCCCGCCAGGTGCGGTTCGTATCCCAGCCGCGCACGATTGGCACATATAACGGATGGTCGATGGGGAGCATGGGCGCCCTTGGGATGTAAGTGAAAACACCCGATATTAAGCTTTTCCGGATTCGCGACTTCGTTTGGATTTTTGCAACAGACACCGGTGTTCCGTCGACGTTTGCCAAAGGGAGGTTGACGGTGTTTCGTTTGAAAAGGTAAACTCAATGTTAGCTTCAGTGTTCACAATTAAAACGTACTTTGCGGACTGTCGGCGGGCAAGTCGAAGGTCTCTTTGAGGAACAGACTTTCCCGTGCATGTATATCAGGGATATACATCTTCGGACGAAACATCGGACGAAGCAGAAAAATGAGCATGCAGATCAACATTTTCTCCAAGCAAAACTTAAAGCCGCTGACCGAGGTGAGTAGAAACAATCCCCGGACTCGGGACCTGAGACTTGGGTCCCAGACTTGGGTCCCAGAGATCCAGACAAAAATTTGGCTGCGAATTATGAATGAGATCCGCGGTAGGAACACATGTCTCAAAACTTGGGGGAATAGTAGTTGTAATCGCTCTCACCTCAGGCTCCAACCGCAAATCAATACCAATCCCAAACTCCGTCGCGAGCGGTCGAGGATCCTCCCTGGGAATAATAATAAAATTGTACCCAAGGTACGATTTCCCTAGCTTGTTGAACATTTCGCCTGGTTCGTGCAATACCTCAGGGTTTAGTTTGGCCGACGCAGAATGCGTAAAATTCAAACAGAGAGCGCCACCGTGAGAAGTCGAATTATCTGCGTTTCTCGGCGCTAAGAATTCCATCCACACTCCAGGCTGAATAAAATATGAGCGCACAATATGGTCCCATTTCTGCGGCAACTCACAACGGTCGCCCGAGGATCTCGTGTTCCCGATCTGCGAACAGCCCAGTCGAGCCGTAAGACCGGTCGACGAGCATTGTCGCCGGTGACTCACTGACGAGCTTTGTCTGAGCAAAGGGCCTGCGATTGCGAGCCCATGCGGAGCCCGGGCAGCTCCTGCGGTTATGTGCGGAGCTATGCGTTCTAAATTCAATGAAGACACCAATCGATGAGGCGAACCATTACGCACTTGAGTTTCTGTCTGTATTCCGAAGGGTTGATTCCGAGAGCTTCAACGAGACCCTTGCTCGGTGCGTTTGGCTCGTCCAGACTGAGGCATACGACTTGGAGCCATCGGCCCTCCCTGGAGCTTCTTCATCTTGCAACGGCATTCCGCTTTCGTCTTCGGTCGCGTCGCTTTCGGCGTCTTCGGTCGCTTCTTCTTCTTCTGAGTTCCCCCGCCTACACGCCTCGCAGCGAACCTCAAGACGGGATCGTCCGCAAGCGGACAAATCAGCACACTGAATCCCGACACTTCCGCCAGCCTCCGCGCAATCCCAAGTACTTTCTTCCTCCGTATGGACCCAAACATCACTATTGCCGGCACATCGGCCGGGCCCCAGCATCTTCCCCACCGGCCCCCCACCCCGGCAGCGCGACACCGCTTGAGCAGCGCATCGTCATGGTGCCCGTCGACCCACGCTTCTGCCTCCGCCGACCGGTGTGCGGCCACGAGCAGTCCGCCCTCCGCGAAATTGTCCTCGAGGATCTGGAGGTCTCCGGGTGTCGCTGCCGCGCTGTTTGCGCTGTATCGTCGTTAGTCCCTATTATCGAGGAACGGAGGACTTGAAAGAGAGTACTTGGATTGGTCCGTGAGCCGGAAAGATGACGAAAGTCGAGGGCTCGTGCCTATTCGTGGTGTCCGCGGTCCTCTCGAGCAGGGTTTCCTTGCGAAGAAAGCCATATAGTCTGCACAGGCCTCTGAGAGTTTGATCACCGTCTCATCAGGGGTTTTCGCGTTTGGATGGAATTGGACACCACGAGGAGATCTTTTGGGTCCTTCCGAAGTTCATTTCCGCTTGGCATCCACGCAAACCTAAAAACGTAAAGTTCAACAAAGTTCAACACTCGCCGGCGATCCCGGGCCGGCGATGATGAACCGTGGGAATCGCCATCAATAAGATCTGACTTGAGTTCAAACCACATCTTTATGTTCACTCACGCTGGAGTTACTGAGGTACCGAGAAAGTCGAAAAATCGACTGAGATCCGAGAGTCCGAGCGATCAAGCGAGAAATGAGATGAATCAACGTAGATCCGAGAATGCGAGCAAGCCGTCGTTGGACAACTTCAATTGGCCCGCAAGTTTTTGAGCTGCTGAAGAAAGTCAGAAATGAACTCAGATCCAAGAAAACCGCCATTTAATAACTTCAATTGTCGCCGCAAGTTCAAGCTGGAATTCCAGATAGATGGAGAAATGAAATGAATCGACCTACATCCGAGAATGTGCGCAAACCGCCATTGAACGATTTCACCCCGCAAGTTCAGGTTTCAGAGGTGCCGAATAAGTGAAACGAATCGACCGAGATCCGAGAATGCCTTCAATTGGCCCACGGAATCAAACCTGCAACGAGAGTTTGAAGGACGAGATTTGGGGTCATACAGTAACAGCCCAGAGAAATGCCTGGCTGTTTTCCAGGGCGGTAAAACAAAGTCTGAGTCTGGCTGTAGGCTCGAAGTGTCGGTGCATCTTTGTGGCACCTCAACCGACGTGGTTAAGCTCACTTGTTGAATATTTGCGCCACGCCGAACTCTTCCTATAGGGCATCCTCGCCCTCGGAGTATGCCACGAAATATATGCGAGGATTCAGGATAGAAAAAAGAGTCACCCCATGGGAATGGTGCTAAAAGAGAAACAACGAAGCCCGAGGCCCCGAGCTCGAGGTACGACCTGGTACGACCCAAGGCACATCTAGATCAACCGGTCTAGACACGGAAGCTGTCGATTCACACCGAAGCGCGTCTTGCGGAAAAAGAAATAGCGGTTCTGCAGGAAGGAAGCAGAGATGGGCTCAGATGACTTGATGAGCTCTGAAGGATAAATGTCGGACTTTGAGCGTTCTTATACAGCGCGCCGAGACGAAACACATGAAAGTCGTTCTTGTGGGAACGCCAAGTCCAGCAAAGGAAAGCGCCGAAACGCAGATTCACAATCAC